TTGGTAGGAGGAGAGATGATAGAGTGTGAGGTGTACGTGGCACTGACCGCTGAGCCTGGCGCCGCAGGTCCTCCTCGCTGGGGGAGAAGGCGTGCTTCACTTGGTGCTTCGCGATGGCCTTCCATTTCCCAGAATTCTCTCTGATGATGGAATCCCAAACCTCGGGTACCTGGGACAGGGGGAGGGACACACAGGAGCCTTGGAGGATCACGTCATTGACTGCTGGTAGGTGCACCTGGCTATAGCGCCCCCCCCCATCATTTAGGGAAGATTACCCATCATGCACCTGTGAGGGATCCTCAAACCTTCCCCCCTGTCTGGTGCTGTGCGTACAATGTCTGTCCTGCACTTTTATATAAATGGGAAACTTTATTTAAAGCGGCACCCCGGCCTTCTCTTCAGTCTTGCACATTGTGGTCTCGCTGCATACTGTGAGCTTAAAAGGAGAACTATGGGCGGGGGGTGATTTACACTCATAGTTCTAGCCGACCTGTGACAATGAGACTGTCGGGAAGTGAGGGAACACATACCGGCGCTCGCTCACTTCTCGATCATCTCCCTGCAGAGTGGTGACTGTCACTCACGGCTCCCTGCAGGGATTCCCCCCCCCCTCCATCGCTGACTGGCGGAACGGACGGGGGAGGGGGCGGGTACAGCTGGCTCTGCCTCTAGATAGGAGGAGCCAGCTGTCACTCACGCAGCTGGGCGGATCCAGACAGTAAGGTCGGGATCCGTCTCTGTATACCGCGAGCTGTAGCTCCCTATATACTGAGCGTAGGGTGACGGGAGGACACTGGTTTGTGTCCCCCTGTGACCCTTAGGAGAACTATGGGGGAAAGCCCTGACCCCGTACTTCTCCTTTAATGTATAAAACTCTTCCCAGGACGCAGTCTACTGCTTGTATCGGGGCTGAGGCTGTACCGTGCATCCGGAAAACATCAAAGCGCCCTGACGGCTCCTCCCACCAGCTGCGCAATGCATAGGGAAGCATAGAGACCCAGCCATGATGTCATGGAGTCTTAATAAAGGGAGTAGTGGATGAATGGAAAGGCTCTATGCAAAAAAAATAATTAGCCTGTTGATGAGGGGGGGAGAGGTCAATTGACGGTGTGACTCCCCC